GGCAGCAAAAGCAAACAGATTCAAGGATGGGAATTATTTTCAGGGGATCTGTTTGCTGCTACCTATCATAATATTGGTTTATTTATTTACAATTTCTTGAGTGACTTTCAACACTGAAATTCAGCTAAAAGAAACTTTAATTTCTGAATCAACTAAATCTTAAATTAATAGTAAAGTTATGAGATATACCTAGAGTAATTTATTTCGATATTGTTTCTGTCAAAACTTGCTCCCAACTTCCTTTATCTAGCCAGCAGCACTCGCAGCTCTGCTCTTTAGCTTATCCCTGGCTTACGAAAGTGTGCTCCGAGTAGACGCCCTCTTGTAGCCGCAAAAGTAAATCAAATAAGCCGCAAAAATATCGACAAATAACGCCCATCCATAAACAAAGGGATACAGGGAGAGTTAACATGCGAGTGAGGGGGCCAATTAATCTGGCAGAGCAATATTATGACGGTGTCGATTGCCCAAAGACAGGCAGGCACGAGCCATATGCAACGAGACATTGACACACCCAAAAGCCGCACGCACGTGACCAGAGGAGAGAGAGAGGCTTTGGGAGGCATTGGTGGCACTGGTGGCACTGGTGGCACTGGAAGCAGCCTGCCTGCTGTCAACTAATCCTGTGCATAATGTTGCCTAAATGCGAGCGCATGTCAAACGCCAAGACGACTCGGGCTCAGGCATCGCCGCCAGGTCTAGGCCGGTCTCCCAACTGCAGCTCTGCAGGGCCAGAGCTTCAGCTTCAGCATCAGCTTCAGTCTCCACTAAGCTTCAATCCCTGTCCCCAGCTTCAGTCGCAGCTTCACTCTCCGAGTGGTCGCCCGTCCCGGCTGTGTGTGTGTGGCAGGCAGAGCAGACAGAGCAGACAGACCTCTCCGAATCTGCCGACGTCAAAATGCTGGGCCTGTGCTCAGCTCCGACTCTCAAACGGAGGCCGCCATTGTGTGTCCGGGGATCCAAATGATGTGCCAAAGTGACACTTGCCGATACACAGATACGGCTACTCAAACACCATTAAGGCGGGTGCTGCTGTTGCACGAACCAGGAGGACGTACCTACGGCACGGCATGGCACGGGGTTGGGTTTGAGTTTGGGGATCGGGTAGGCCGCACCATATTCCTGTGGATATTTGTTGGAATGCTTGTTGTTAGTTTTATTTTATTTTGTGTGACAATTTCAGCAGCGGCAGCAGCAGCAGGAAATAATAAAAATGCAAACAAATCGTTAGATTTTCCTATAGAAGTGGTTGCCCCTCCCGCACCACCGCCAACACTCTCTTCAGTGTGCTGGGTGTTTGCATTAGTGTTTGTGCTGCTGCTGTTATGGCCTTTGTTGTTGGTGTTGGTGGTGGGCATGTTGCTTAGATGCACCATGGGGCAGATAGGTCTGATCAGGGGATATAAAAAATACGTAATATTAATAATAAATAAATGAATAAATAATAAATAATAATTTTCCCAGCAATTTCACAGCTGTAAAAAAGTTGAAAGTAAAACTAATAAAAACTTGGGTAAGGTATGGAAAAGAAAAGGCTGCTTGAAAACATTTTCAAAGTAGCCATACATATATATTATATGTGTATATATATAAAATAAATCCATACCCAATTTTAATCATTTTAAAATTAATATAAAGTGCTGCTGATTATATTTAATGTAAAATCTAAGGTGGCTACCTTTAAATAAAATAAATAAGATTTGCAAAATGTTTTTAAATTTCGCCCTTCAATGCCAATATAAATTCCAATCAATTTCTTCGATATCGATCAGCGAAACCAACGAACTTGCAGCGGAAACAATCAAATGTGCTGCGTGTAATCGTATATCAAATATTGACAAAAAAAAACAATTCAGGAAGCGTCAATCAATTAGCTCCAAGTCGAAGCACATATAAATCCTGTTCAGTTTGGTTTTAATTTATGCCCAGTTGGAATGGTATGGCGCCCATTGTGCCCACTGTTGAGGATGATGACGTTTGTGGGTCCGACACGATATCAGAGAGAGAGAGAGAGGGAAGAGTGAGCGAGAGGCTGAGACGACGAAACCGAACCGATCCGAAGCCACGGCAATTTGTGCAATTTTTCTTGTTTAGATTGTTTTTGGTGTATGTTTGTTTGTTTGTTGGTTTGTTTGTTGTACATTTTGCTGGTTGGGTTGGGTTTTTATGCCTGCGATAAGCCCAAACAGTGCCCCATAACCATTCTCATATTATTTGTAAGGATTTTTGCATTTATTGCCAGCGTTTTCAAGGATTTGCCTCGCACCCAGTGCCCAGTGCCCATCCCCCATCCACCCATCCACCTCGTAGCCAGTACCAAACCCAATCCCGAAGCCCCAATATGGCTGCAGTAGTTATCTTAATAGTTATCAGACGATTGTGTTGTGTTGTTGTGCGTGGAGCAGCAACTTTATTTGCCAGTTAAATTTGATGCCATTTAACGGGCAGCAGCCGCAGCAGGAATGGAGACGTTTGCCCTCTCGTGTCGTAAATCCATTAAATTGCCCCAAATTAAACTAAACACAACTAAAAATGGAAATGGAAATGGGCATGGGCCTGGGCAAAAAAAACAGAAACAAGGAACACGAAGGGACGCAACGGAACGGAAGCCGCTGGGCGATATGTGTGACAAAACTGTTGAGGAAACAAAAAAACCTGTAAATAAACTGCAGGAATGCGAACGGCAATTACACGCCCCAAATTAACATCAACAGGGATCGTCAGACACCCAGCAATAACTCAACTGAACTCAGCTCACAACCCTCGGGTGCAGGGCGCAAGGGTTGTCCATTCCATGGGTCGGGTTGCCTTCATAATCCGTCTTGAAGGTGCTGACAGACTCGGGGGTTACCTACAGCGAAGGAGCCGCATCGAACCGCTGACGGAGTGATGATAGTGATGCGTGTGTCTCTCAGGGCTCAAATGATATTCAGGCTACTCTTTGAGCCCAAGTAATTCATTCATTCATTCATTGGTTCATTCATTCATTCATTTATTCATATGTGTGTGTGTGTGTGTGTGCATGATGACAGTTTGCCAGTTGGCCAGTCATCGAGCTGGCATATTAACCGTGTTAATTACTCACTGAAGGCATAGCTCGCTGTCATGTTTCCTGCATATCGAGCAGATGTTTCCGGTGGGGAGGGGAGAGTGAAAAATGAGTGGAAGCAGCCAAGGAATCAGGCTGCTATTTAAAAGGGGAATTTAATATTATTTATTTACATATCTAGAGCTGAAAGCAGAAAGGAAGCAGCTAAGTTTTGCACACTGTCTGCCACACAATAAAAATAAATATGTTCTAATTTTCAGAGAAACATAAACAGCCTTTGAAACGCAGTGCAAATAAATATATATTTTTTTAGAGGTATTTTAAATACTAGAAAGGGAATACTTGACTTTACTTGACTCCTTTTGGTCACTTTTCTACCCCCAATCTCCCAGCTAACCAACACTTACAGCACCCATTGAAACGTATCTCTTCACACCGTTAAAACGGAGCAAGGCAAAGTAAAAATACTCATTCGGAGTCTAATCAAAACTAAGATCCATTCCATTCCATTGTTTTATGGTTGGATTTAAACATGTAAATGACATTTTCAAATCGAAACCAGTTCAAACATCCATCACACGCACTGAAAGCGAACAAAAAGCGAATGACAGACGAACAATAACCGAAGAAGAAGGCACAACACAACACAGCAGACACTCAGAACTCAGCGGGTGTCCGTCATTAAAAAGATGACAAAGCGATGTCAACGAGAAATGTTTTGATTAACGACTAAAATGCCACAGAGCCAAGCACCGATCCGCACCGATCCAAGCCGAATCGAGCGGACTGAAGATCCAAGATCGGAGACAAGAGGGAAAAAAGTTAACAGCAAAAAAAAAAATCAAAAAAAAAAGCTAACGATATAAAACAGACGAAACCAGGCAGCAAAAATTTGTTCTGTGTTGAAGGTAAAATATCAATTTAAAAGGCAATAAAAATATTTCATTGCTGATCGCGCTCGCTCCATTATAGATCAGGCTTCGGGTTCGGTTCGGTTCGGTTTCTCTCTGGTGGGACACTGGAGACTGGACACTGTCGATATTCCGTTTCGATTTCGAATTAAAAGATTATGACGATAATAAACTTGACTAATCATTTTTATTACAGCCAGCGCCATCTGTTTACCACGAAATTGAGCAACGAAAACAAAAAATCTCCAAAAAATGTTGTCTTTTTTTTTGGTTTATTTTTCCCAGAACCCTGATCGAGATAAGCCGCGGGGATGGAGGCAATCTCCCATGAAAGAAAAACACCAAATTTATTATTAATTTTTCATAACTTAAATACATATATATATATATTTATTCGTTCACGTTTATTCTTTTCTCTCGATAGATTTTAATTGTATTTTGCATTTGCTGCTTTGTTTTGTGTTGTTTTGGGGGTTTTTCGCTTGCGTAATAAATTATGAGACTATGCTTAATGCTTACACGAAACAGAGTCAGATACATCAGATACAGTGTATCTGTGTGTAAGTTAGGTGTGTAAGTGTGTGTGTGTGTGTGCTTATAACTAGGGGGCGGGGCGTGTGTGGGGTAGTAATCCTTCCTTCCTTCCTTTCATCCTTCCTGCCAGTGAAGTGAAATTAGAGTGGGGGTTTGGGTTTGGGGGTTTTTTGTGTCTCGTCTAACGACTAAATTAACTATGAATGTTAGATATATCTTTTGTGGGTTCTCTCATCTGTGATATGGAAAGCATCTTGCAGTGGGCACGCCGCAATCAAATAATTTGTATTTCTTTTTTTTTGTTTGTTACATTTAATATCACAATTTCTCATATATAATTCTTAATATTTTGTTTTGTTTTGTTTTTTTTTTAGATTTTCCCATTTTTTTCCGTTTTATTTCTAACCCATTTCTTTCGAAAGCAAAGCATTTGGATTTCGAAATATGATTATAATATATACGCTAGCATATACATACGTACGCATATGTGTGTATGTGTATGTGTATGTGTATGTATGTAAGTATGTACAAGAGTTGGAAAATAAAAACTAATTTACGAGTAGTAGGAAACAAAAGCATCTAAATTTATAGCGTGTCATATTATTGCACATTCCAAATAGATTATTAACATTTATGTATGCCTAGGTGATTGTTTGATTGTGTTGGTGTGTGTGGTTGTGAGGGGGAATTCGGTTATCATTACTACAATATAATAATATATATCATATATGTCTGTATGTCTGTCTGTCTGTATGTCTGTACACATGCTTGCATCGCTTAGGTACCTATTAAATTTCTATTAGCATATACCTTAAGTTGTTTGCTCTTTAAATTCGAATTTTGATTTTACTACGCCTTCAACACACACACAGATACCGCGCAGGAGTATCTGCAACTGTGTGGCATGCTTCCGTTTGTTTTTGTTTTTGTTTTGTTTTTTGTATTTAGTTATTGTTTTTTGTGTGGAACATGAAACGCTATCAGTCTCTTCTAAGTATACCAAGCAGCTTTGTGGTTCCATGTCCCAGGTCTTCTGTTTGCTCTGTTTTTAGCTGGAACACAAATTGCTTTTGATGCATCTTTGGATACGTTTCATGATCGCCTTTTGTAGTAGTATTGGTATTTTAGGTGTATTTTGTCTGTACGCAGCACCGCCGCCGCATCATAAAAAATTGTTTATGAAACTGTGTGCTCAGGAATCGATTGGCTTTTGGTGTTAACAGCCTTTTCGCATTCTTCTTCATCATTTTGGGAGCAACAATCAAATCAAATAATATTTTTGCGGGCAACAATTTATAAATATAAACGATTTTTGTATACACGACTCCGATCTTCAAGCAGCGTGCTGCCCGATCTGTCGCCCCTCTCTACCACTCTCACTCGCTCTTCCTCTGTATTTTTGCTCTAAACCTTGAGATCATTTGGTTGCGAGAATCGATTGCATCTTGACTGAATCTGATCTGAATCTGAATCTGAATGTGGATCTGCCAGCCTTCTGGGAGCAAAGTGATCTGGATATCGGCATGCAGATCTCTCTCGATCGTGATCGTGCCGATAGCTGAGTGTCTGCCTATTCGCGATCGGAGTTCCATTCACTCATCTGTAAAGAGAGAAGCAGAGCACAAAATATGCATAAGTAAAAGTGGAATTATTGTGGGTTATTTTTGGGGTTGGGAGAGGAGTGGCAAGAGAAAGTGATCTGATGGGTATTAAATGAAAGAAAAAAGGGAGCAGAGAAGTTTATCGTACTAGTGAAATAATAGGAGTAGGAAATGAAGCATTATGCAACTATTCTGATCCTCAATCGATAGATTCTGGATTAAATGAAAGGCTAAACTAAGTGCCAAGACTATTTGTGGATCAGTAACGAAGATCCTTGACTTGGCATGACTACAGGAGTGATTGCAAATGAATTTCAGTAAAGAAACGAAAGCTGAGCCAAGATCGATCAACGAAAAGGGGTGCTGGGTGTGGAGTGGGGGGGGGGTTTGATATTAATAGAAGACTTACATACTTTACGGCACGATTTCTGAAGGTCTCCTGCTCCATGTCCCGGATCTTGTGTGTCAGCATGTGCTGCTTCAGATTGCCCTGGAAGAGGAACAAGAAACAAGAAAAAAAAGGAAAGCTTCTATTAGATCTCTGTCTCAAAGTCGGAGGGGGTGGGGTGGGTGTGGGGGGATCTATCTACAGAGTCCCATAAGCCCGTAAGACACCCGTGGATGGGATGGGATGGGCTGGGATGGTGGTTGCTTTTCTTGAGAGAGATGAATCTGATCTGCCGCACTTACCTTGGTGGTGAAGCCGCGATCGCAGATGTTGCACTTGAAGGGCCGCTCCTTGGTGTGGCTCCTGTAGTGAATCTCCAGCGCCGAGTGGCAGGGGAATGTCTTGTAGCAGATGCCGCATGTGGTGCTGCCCCGCACCCCGCTCAGTGCCAGCGGATTGAACGGCGCCGCCGGCATCACCGACTGGGCGATCTGGTTCATCGCATTGCACATATTCTGCGTCGTCGAGGGCGGAAAGAGCGGCAGATTGGGGAACATGCCGAAGGGCGGACGGGCGCCCATCAGCGGATTCGGCTGCTGGCCCGCTGGCACATCCTCGCGCTGACCCCCCCGCGACGGCGGCTGGGGCGATGTCTGGCGCTGGGCTGCTGCCGCCACGGCCGCCGCTGCCGCCGCCTTCTGCTGAGCCTCCTGCGCCTCGCGGCGCAGCTGCTCCTGGTGCTGGTGCAGCGCGGCCGCGTGCTGCTGCATCTGATGGTGATGGTGCTGGGCCGCCGCTGCCGCGGCCACGGCCGCCTGCTGCTGCATGAGGTGCTGGTGCTGCTGCTGCAGGTGGTGCTGCAGGCCCGGGGGCAGGCAGTCAATGGCCACCGACGGGGGCAGCGGCGAGCAGGAGAGCATCGAGGGCGGCGCAGGCGGAGGTTGGGCGTTGGGCGGGCTCCGCGCGGACTGCGGCAGGCTGCTGCTGGGCGGGCTGATGGGCTTCTCCTTGGGCAGCAGCGGCGAGCGGGAGCTGGAGGAGCAGGCGCTGGCCGCCGGCGCAGGCTGTGGAGCCGCGCGCGGCGTCAGATCCAGGGCGCCTTGCGACGCCTCCGATCTGGCGGGGCTGCTGGCGCGCGTGGAGCTGGGCTTGGTGGCCAGGTGGTGCGACTGGGAGGTGGGGCTGGTGGGCGCCGAGGCGGATCCCACGGAGTGGGCATTGCTGGAGGCGGAGGAGCGCGGCCGGGCGGGCGGATTGGTGTTCACCACGCCCGTCGCGTCGATCCGCAGCTTCTGCTCGAACAGCAGCGACTTGAAGTCGTCCCCCGACCGCGGCCGCTCCGACCCGCCGCCCTCCGGCTCGAGGTGGCTGCTGGACAGATGCTCCGAGGACACATCGTCATCGTAGTCGTCCCCGCAGTCCATGTTGTCCTCCAGATCGCCCTGCGACGACTCCGAGCCCAGCGCTCCGTTGTGCGCCCCATGCAGCCCTCCCGCCCCTCCCGCGCCCGGCGGGCCGCCCGGTCCACCCGGCAAGGCGCCAAAGTGGAAGGCAGCCGCCGCAAAGGGATTCATGAAGTGGCCGGGCATCATGGAGGGCGGCGGGTCGCGTATCTCGGCCGCCTGGATCTGCTCGGGCGTGAGGTCCGTGGGCTCGCCCGTGTGCAGGCGGATGTGCTGCTGCAGCACGAGCGCGTTCGAGTACTTCTTGTGGCACACGGGGCACTGGTGGAAGTTGCGCATCGGCGGCCGGATCTTGTGCACCGCCATGTGCGTCTTGAGGTTGCCCTTGGTGGTGAAGGCGCGCCCGCAGATGCGGCACTTGAAGGGCCGCTCGCCCGTGTGGGTGCGGTAGTGCATCTGCAGGGCGCTCTTGCAGGAGAGCACGCGGTCGCAGACGACGCACTGGTTGGGGTCGCTGATCTTCTTGTTCTTCATCAGCTCCTTGAGCTTCATCGTCTCGCAGGTGTTGGACACCTCGATGAAGTTCTCCCACGAGTTGTCGTTGCTGTGCGGCCGTGGCAGCAGCGCGGCCATCTCGTGCTTGATGGGATTGAAGAACGGCGAGCGCGCCATGTGGGCGTGCGGGTGCGGATGCGGATGCGGATGCCCGTGCGGATGCCCGTGCGGATGGGCATGGGCGTGGGCCGCGCCGGTGGCGGGCGAGCGCACGGGCGAATTGTGCTCCGGCGAGAGCGTCTTGCCCGTCGTAAAGTTGAGGGGGAAACGCTCCGCGAAGAAGTCCTCCCGGTGGGGCATGCTCGGCGGCAGCTGGCCGGGCGTGGGCAGGTGATCCAGGTGCGACTGGCTCCCAGGCGACGGCTGCTGCGGATGCATCAGCGCGGGCGGCTGGATGGGCTGCACCACCGGCGGATAGCCATGCAGATGATGCTGCGGATGCTGCTGATGCTGGTGGTGGTGCTGGTGATGGCTGCGATGGTGATTCACTGGCGGAGATCGGACGCGTGGCGAGGGCGTACTCCGCACCTCCAGCTGTTCCTCCTGCTCCTCCTGCTCCTGCTGGGACTGGTGCTGCTCCGAGGACTCCTCCTCGAGGCGCTCCTCCTTGATGCGCACCTCCAGGGGCAGTGGCTCCGGGTCGGGCTCCGTCTCCGTCTCCGAGCGACCGTTGGCCGAGTTGGTGTCCAGCTCCTCGGGCTGCTCCTCCTTGTCCTCCTCCATGAGCTCCGTTTTGACTGGCAGCCGGCCGGACATCTCCTCGTCCTCCTGCTCCTCCTGCTGGCGCGGCGAGCTCGGACCCGACGACTTGCGCAGGTCCGTGGGCATGTCGTGGTGGGCGGCGGCGCCGGAGGAGTGCTTCAGGGCGGCGCCCAGGCCCGGCATCTGGGGGAAGAACGGATGCGGCCCGCCAGCGGCGGCGCCCAAGCTCTTCAGAATCTCCATGGGCGGGCGGTACAGGCCCTGCAGACCCGGGAAGGCGGGGCTCGTGGCGAAGGGCATGGGGGGCGGGGCGGCGGCGGCGGCGGCACTGCCGGACGGAGCCTGCGGCGGCGCCGGCGAGTGGGTGGGCGAGCTGTCCGTGGGCGACATCTGGTCGAGCAGCGGCGGATGGAACTTGTCCATGTGCTCCGGAATGGGCGTGGCGTTCATGGGCACGTGCGGGAACTTCTGGGCGTGCCGCTGGAAGTGCACCTTGAGGTTGCCCTTGGTGGTGAAGCGGCTGCCGCAGACGTTGCACTTGAAGGGCCGCTCGCCGGTGTGGGAGCGGATGTGGATCTGCAGGGCGGAGTCGGAGCCGAACACCTTGCCGCAGTACCGGCAGCGGTGCTTGAAGAACGGCTCGTTGCGGCTCTTGCCATCGCCGGCCTTGTCGAAGGCGAAATCGTCGGCCATGTTGTTGGCCAGGATGCCCTGGGAGGCCGAGTCGAGCACCTCCTGGGCGCGCTTCTGCAGCAGGTCCAGCGAGTTCGGCTCGGGCAGGTCGTCGTGGTTCGTGATGATGCTGGAGGCCAGATCGGAGCCGAACGGCAACGGCCTGTTCTCCATGTCCCTCAGCTTGGCCAGCGCCTCCTGGGCGTTCTCCTTGTGGCCCGCCAGCTCCGCGCTGAGCCGGCGACTGGTGGGGGGCCGCCTCATGGCAGCGGCCGCCTCCTCCTGCTCCTCCTGCTCCTGTGCCTGGTCGCGGCGCCGCTTGAGGGACTCGGCCGGGGAGCCGGAGGACTCGCGCAGCGGAACGCCCGCATTGATCAGATGCTGGCGGGCCTTGGCCTCGGCCATGCGCGCCTCCGCCTTCTGGCGCAGCTCCATGTCGGCAATGCGCTCCTCCTCCTCGTACGTGTCCGTCTCCCCATCCTCGCGCTCCTCTGGCTCCACATCCGCATCCTGCTCCTGCTCCTGCTCCTCCTCCTCCTCTTCGTCGTCCTCCGTCCCCTCCTCCGTCTGCTTGGCCTGGTTGAGGGCCAGCTGCGACTGCAGCTGCTGTATGAGCTGGATCTGGAAGAGCTGCTGCTGCTGCAGGTTGAAGAGCGTCTGCTGCAGGAAGGCCAGCTGTTTCATGGCCGCCTCATTGTCCGCTCCCGTCGATCCGTTGGCAATGGTCTTGGCCGCGAACTGCGCAATGGCCATCTGCATGTTCTGAATGGCCTCCAGGGTGACGGGCGTGGCGCCGACACCCACACCCACGCCCACGCCCACGCCCACTCCCTGCTCCTCTGCTGGTCCGCCCGCGGCGGTCCGCGTCTCTGGCATCTCCACATCCACTTCGATGTCCTTCTCCGGCGCCACTGCTGCCGGACTGGCCGCCGTGGCTGCCTCTTCTGTGCTCTGTGTTGTGTGTGCTGCGAGGGGTGACGACTGCGACTGCGACTGCGAGTGGGAGTGGGAGTGGGAGTGGGCCAGCTCCAGCTCGGAACTGGGTTTCGTCATGTCCACCTTGTTGTTGTTATCCTCGATGGTCTCCTCGTCCGTTTCTGTGTGTTTGGGGCTCTGCGGCTGCTCCTGATCCTCCTCGGGCTCGGGACTGCGACTGGGACTGGCCGTGGTGGTGGCCGTGGTCATTGGTGAGCAGCCACCATTCTCCTCCTGATCGCTGCCAGTGTCTAAAGGCACAGAAAGCCAAGCAGAGAAAAGAAAAGAGGGAAAAGTGCAAGTCAAGTTTGTGTTTCCATGGAAAAGACATTCCGGGAGATGTGGCTCTGCCATGGCCAGTTATGGTTAGCTTCCCAGATGGCTCCCAGACCCCTCCCCCCTGCTTCCACTCCTTCCAGATCCCCCCCTGCCACTGCTGCTTATGGCATCTATGACTTAATCGCCTGTGAATGTTGCTGCTGCTGCTGCTGCTGCTGTTGCTGCTGCTGCTGCTGCTGCTGCTGCTGCTGTTGCTAACTGAATGCAATTACATTGCTTGTTGCAGCATGTGTTCTCTCCCCCCCTTGCTATTAGCTACTTTTTTTCCTAAGGCTGCCCACAATTAGTCTTCCAGTCAGTGGGCAACCTGCTGCTGCTGCTGGTGGTGGCAGAGTGGCAATTGTTGCTGCCACTTGTTGCCAGAGAGAAAGCAGTTGACAGCCGTTTGGCCTGGTCCAGTCCCTGCACTGACTCAGCCTTTAAAAAATAACAAAAAATAAAAACTGCATTAAGGCCACAATATCGATTGTGTTGCCAATGCACAATCGAATTTTGCTTTGTGTTGTATGAGTGTGGAAATTAGTCATGTAAAATGTAAAGAAAATTTGGTCGGAAACAGAAACAGAAACAGAAACTTTGGAAACAGTTGCCTTAGCGAAATCCACTTAATTAACAGAGTGCCGCCTAAAGAGCCAGAAACCCAGTCACAGATTTGGACCCAAAAGCAGCCAAATTGGTCAGCAGCATTTGCCGCACACGCACATAAAATATAATTTATGATAAGTCCGAGGAGGGAGAGCCAACGAACCAGTCCCCCAGGCCCCCTACCTATAATAAAACATATTTTCTGCACAGAAATCAAACGAGTTGAGCGAGTTTTGTGCTTGCTGTCCGGCCACAAAAGATACACAAAGCCAGAGATACAGATACAGATACAGATACGGATAGAGGAAGAGAGAGGCCTGGCTGGTCGCTGTGATCTCTGGCCTGCCTATCAGCGCCATTTGCATATCGATCGCATCAATATTATTTGCGTTATTATTATGGAAAAGCGAAATGTTGCCTGGTATTTATTTTGCAGTGAGATTTTTTTTAGCGGGAATAATTCCTGCGAGTATTTTTGTGCCGCCTGCAATTGCAGTTCAAAAACGAAAACCGCTTCGCGGAGAGGAGTTATGATTATGATTGCCGATAATTGAAGTGTATTTTAATTAATTGAAATTAATTATAATGTTCACCATAAACCTTTCAAGCGGCGGCGGCGGCTTCGCTTCAGTTCAGTAAAAAAAAGAGACAGCAAAAAATAATGTAAGGTAAAACAACTTCCAATTATGACGAACATAAAAATGTCTCGAACATGGTTAAGTCATTTTGCAATTGGTAATAAAATTGTTAAATTTACAATAACAATAAACGCATTTTGTTTATTATATTTGTGTGTTGGTTGTGCCCCCAGGGGGCGGCATGCAGGGGTTGGGGCCTCGTTAGAGGCCATTGCCTTAGCTCCCCGATTTGATTTGGATTTTGAGTTTGATTTTTTTTAGTTTTAGCTTTCGGCAACCGACATACTACACTATATTTGTAGTTGTGTTCCGCTGATGCGTGGGCGCCCAAAAACAAAATATACCCAAAACATTTAACCAAAATCTATATATACCATATAGTATATATTTATGTATCGATTGGGTGGCTGCCTCTGTGTTTGTGTGCCGTTTAAAGATTTATTTTTTTTGTCTTCCCCAAAATGTATTTTGTTCTACTGACAACTGTGGCTCGGCGCTGCTGCCCTGCATTTGTGTCTGTGTCTGTATCTGTATCTGTGTATCTGGCAGATAAATAAATATGAAATTGTGAAACGTGGAGCTGTCGGCAGGAAATTATATTTCCCATTGTTATATGTGTGTATATATATATAAATTAAATTGTACAAGTTTAAAGGTGGATTAAGTCAAGCCATAAATTGTGTGTGCCTGTGTCTGTTGGCTAAATTCGAATGAATTACGGGTATGCGCATGGGAAGCGAATAAATCCCGCCACGGAGCAGCCGAACCGATTGGAACCCCCACCCAACCCCATACCCCAACCGCATCCATCTGGCCACAAATATTCATAATTGCTAAACCCCTCCTCCACAGTCTGTCCATCAATCCCATTAAGCAATGTCAACTTTTTTGGCACTTTCCGTGTCTAAATATTTTCAACAGAATATCGCTGCGGCTCCTCGCAGGTTCAGCCCGAGGGAACATTGTTCCTTTTGGCTCATCCAACTCAGAGTAGGGCATGGGGGGGGAAATGGTAAAGTGAAATAAATAGTATATTTATAATCAAGCGTTCTGTGATTCCTGCAATTAAAATATTCCCTCCTCTTGTAGCTAACTAAAATCGGATTTCCTTTTGGTTTTATATTACCACAAACCCCTCTACCCACTCCACCCCACCATCCCCATTGACTTCGACTTTTGTTCTATGCTGATTTTTCAATTATTCCATCGTCATATTCAATATGCAAATCGCCTCGAACCCAACCGTGAGCGCTAGCCTGAGGTGAAACAAATGTTCAGCCAATTGGAAAATGCAAAAAAAAACAGCAACAAAAAAAAAATACCATAAAAATGTATGCAAAAGTACAACAGAGTGGCGGCATAATTGAATAATATATATATCCCAAGACCAGGCCGATTCGATCCGATCCGATTCGATCCGATTTCGGTGCCAGAGGTCAGGAGGAAGCCGCGCTGTTTCCAATTGAGTTTCATGTCGAAGTTTTCGGCATAAATATTTCATTTTTCCCCTCGGTTCGGATCGGGGAGCAGCGGAACTTTGGAGCCAGCCCAGGCCCAGCCAATGGGGAATACAAAGTAGAAAAAAATCGATAGCAAAATCGTATAAATAAAAATAATTAAATAATTAATGTCATTAAGTTATGCGAGCGCGACTTCGATTCGATTACAAAAGAAGAGCAAAAGCGGCAGTGGCAGTGGCAGACAGACGCAGTGAACAAAATAAAGCTAAATAAATAAATTGATGAGCATTTCCATATGCATATGCCGTAAATACATATATGCACAGGGAGCTGTGTATATAATACATACGCATATGTACTCCAAATAAATCATATGGAAATAAGCAACAACTCGCTGCGTTTCTGCTTCGATTTTCCATTTTTTTTTTTTGCGATATTAATTTAATTTATTATCCCGCACTAATGAGTTAACATTTATTAATGCCCATCGCTATATGCATCACTATATAGTATATAAACATACATATATGTATATGTGCACACTCATATGCGGTGTATAAATAAAAACCGCGCCAAACAAATTGATAAAGCGAAACAAAAATCCATAAGCAAAAAAATGTTTATCACCTTTTTAAAGCTTATGGGCAATTTTCCAAATTTAATGGCAACTCATTTGTAATTATGGATATATGTACATATGTATGTGTACTTATGTATGTATATACACATCTCTGTACATGCATATGCATCATCTGTTTTTTATGTACAAATTTTCAATGATTAATTTTACCAAAAGAAAAGAAAAAAGAATAGAAAAATTGTTTGTTCTTTTTCCAATTGTGTGGCATTAAATTTAAACTTTATGGGAAAAATAGTCGATCAAATATTTTTAATAACAATAAAACCTAAAAATTATTTTTACATTTTTCCAATAATGAAATGCTTTCTATTTAATTCGATATATTTTCTATTGTAAGCGAATTTATCTCTTTAAGAACATTTTTGAAAAGTAGGAATGAGGAAAAATATTCATAAGGATATTTAAAAAATTTTGTATGTAATCGAAATGTATGGAACATAATTTTTTATTTAAAGTTTTAGTTTATATCAAAAATGATTTATCATTTATGAACATGAATGCAACAATTAGAAAGTTTTTTCTTATCATTTGAAAATATACATACATCTACAATAATTTAAAAGCATTTTCCCCAACCAAATCTACATATTTCGGCGGCATAACTGAACCATTTAAAGTTAATTAACAAATTTGTCATTTTTGTTTTGTGTTTAAATTATCTGTTTTCTGTTTTTTCTCTCGTTTTTCCGCTTTAATTTTCATGTTAAATGCTGCAACCTACGAAGTTTTGGATTTAACTGTTTTTCCATTTGCCCGATAAGGCCCCAAAATGGAAACCAACATTTTGGGACAACATTAATAATTTTGAGAGTGGGCTACAGTGGGCTATCAGCAGCATTCGATTGGTGGAAATATTAAGTTAAATTTGAATTTAAATGCTCTTAAGCTATATGTAGTCTTATGGTTTTGTTACGCACCGTCTGTGTGCCAGAGTGCACCAGTTTTACTCTCTGTTTCACAGAGATATAAATTATATTTCCTTTGTTTTGCATTTCCAGTTTTTGGTTTTGATTTGTTTCAATTTTCGATATCTGCTGCTATTGGTTTTGGCTTGCTTCGGTTCCTCCTCCCCAGCGCCTGCCCCACGGTTCACGATCTCGTTTTTTATGATAAATCAAAAATCGATTTCGTTTTAATGGACCGTCTTAAAAACGATATGATTTAAATATGGCTTCGGCTCCACTTTATATAGAAATAACTTTTGGGAAAGGCACAAAAATGAGTCGATATTTGTATTTGGAGGCCTTTCGGCAGGCGTGTTTCTTTAATTGCTTTTGAAAGCTTCCATTTGCATATATCTGCTCTTTATTATATTTATTTGAAGTTTTGTTTGTTTTGTTTGCTTTGATTTGATGAAATCGTAGCCCATAAAATTATGACTGAGAGATGACGGACAGGCCCGCTTCCGCTATAAGTCTGCATGGCATAACATGAACGGGAAATACAAATATTTACCCATTCATCAATAAATATGGGAAAAATAATAGCCGTCTTGGCAAACAAGCTCTCCCATGCACACATCGAATAAACGACTAAAACGTGTAACTATCTGGAGATACAAATGAATTTCATCCATAAATATTAGAGCTGTAGAGTAAATTTGTAACAGAACACAGCTCGTAGGGCTGCCTAAAAAAGAGCTTATCCTGCACTTAAAATATTTCTACTTTCTCCACCATTCGGTTGCCGATTTCCACAAACTTAAAATCGAATAATAATAATTATATGTATATCATGTGTACTTTGCTCACCTTTGTCGGCGCTTCTAGCGCGATCCTTCAGCTGTTTGACAATGCCATATTTCACTGTGCCAAATTGTATCATTTTATTGATGGTCTCCTGGTGATTATCCTTGAAGTCACTACGCATTGCACACAGCACGTTGCACAGGTGATTTTTCATCAAGAGAACTTTATGACCGTTATCTGCTAAGCACTTTCGCTCTCTCTCTCGCTCTCTCCTCTCTCTCTCTTCTCTCTCCCTTTTACTTTGTATCCTTTGTTTCTTGATTTATTTAGCTTGTACCGTTAACTTTTGATCATTGCACTGTTTTGTGTGTGTGTGGGGGGGAAGGTATTGGCGTTTTGGGGTCGGGGAGGACTCTAATATTTTGATCTTTCGCTTTGACAGGCCTCTCCCAGGACGGGGGGGGATCGATCTCGGCGGCTGTTCGTTTGTCATGCGCGCAGGAGGACTCGCTCCATGTCCACCGTACACTGTACACCGTTGCCGTTTACCGTTGCGCGATCGTTATCGTTATCGTTGCACCGTTACCGCCAGCTTAACCGCGTTCTTTGGATCACTTTATCGTTTTGCCGTCGGCGGATTGCAGACCGCCTTGCCCTGCCTTGCCTTGCCGCTGGCTTTGCTTTGCTTTGCTTTGCTGCTTCTCTCGCTCTCTCTCTCTCACTCTCTCTCTGGGTCTGACCGATCGCTGATCTAAAGCTGCCCGGGCACTGTCATCGCTGGATGGATGGTTGGATGTCTTGGGGTTGTCAGCGCCGTTTGTGGAACTGCACTGCACTACGCGTTCGTTGGTTTATTAGGGGGGGAAAATGTGGAAAACTCTACGCGATTACGCGTCACGCATACGCAACGTTGCTCTCGGAATCTGGCGCTGTCGCTGTCGCTGCTGCTGCTGCGAACGAACGTATCTTTGTATCTGAGCGTTGTTGCTCGTTCGATGTGGCGCGTCGAACTGACACAAACAATAACCGCCACACGACCAGACGGCCATCGGTGGTTCGGCTCTCGACCGGTTTCGTGCCGTGCCGTGCCGTGCCACACTCACATTATTACATGTGCGCGCGCTCTCTCTCTTGCTATCGCTCTCGCTCTCTCTCGCTCTCGCTCTCTGTGCTCGTGTGTGTTTTGTTATTACATCCTGACAATCATTCAACCAACCCACCGCACACACACACACACACGTTGCATACATGCATGCATACATACTGCGACACCCTCTCACTCTCTCGCATTTCACATTGAATATGCTCTCCCACTCTCACATTTCATATAATTTTTCATATGCGCTCGCTCTCTCACACACATAGATACATACTACGATCACACACACACACACGAGGTAGCGCGCGCGTTTTCCCTCTCATCATAATTTTTATTAAATTGCGCTGTCTCGCTTGCTCCTGCTGCCGGGCATTTGGTTAACTGTTACTGTTACTGTTGCCATCGACCTCTTGCCCGTGGTCGCGCAGCAGCAGCCTCTCTCACTCTCACTCACACTCTGGCTCCGACTCTGGCTTTGGCTTTGGTTTCGGTTCGGTTCGGGATGCGATGCTCAGTCGCAGTCGCTGTTGCTGTTGCTGCGACGCTGCTGCTGCTGCTGCTGCAGCGCTTACCTGTGGGACAGTGGGACATTTATGAAACTTGTTCGAAAAATTATGAGCCACACACACAGACAAAGAAAGCAAAAAAAACAAAAAGGATATGGCACACACGCACACACACAAGGAGCAGAAGTTACGAAGCAGCTCGACTTCCTTCCGCCTCCTTCCGGCTTGAGAGTCGCTCACCTTTGCCTCCTTCTTTTTAGCAGCTACTCTTTGGCTCTCTCTCTTGCTCTCGGGCTCTTGCCTTCTCGCTCGCACTTTGATTAATAATTTATCATAATTCATACAAAGCCCCCAACCCCCTCCCACACACACCTTCTCTGACAGCATATGCCAGCCTGCTCGCACTCAGGTCTGCGCGCCTCTGCCATTTGTTGCGCGAGACTCTCTCGCTCTCTACCTCGCACTCTGGCTGTGCGCGCTCTCTCTCTCTCTCTCTCTTGCTATGCCTCTCTTTCTCGCTCGCTTTGGCGCAGTTATGAGCCTTGTTTTTGTTGCTTTTTTAATTTCGGTTTTATAAGATTTTCTTCAGTTCTTTGCTATTGTTCGTATCGCCCCCACCGCCAAGCCACCCCCCACTCCAGTATACGTTGACTTCGCTTATTCGTCAGTCGTGCATGACATGCACACGTACGCGTGTGTGTGTGTGCTGTGTGGTGTGAGTGTTTGTATGAGTATTCGTTGAATATTATGAGCCATTCATCAAATTCGCTTTTTTGTTTCTGTTTCTGTTTCTTTTTTTTTCGACTTTTGGGCAACTCCCACTTCTTTAATTATTTTCTTATTGCCTTATGCTCGCTCTTTCTGAGGCGACTTGCTCTCTCTCTCGCTCTCTCCCTCCCACTCTATGTACCCCTCTCTTTGCCGAAAAGATCTGTGGGGCGCTGGGCTTTAGATTGGGGAATATTTCGTACCTGCTCCACAAATCGGTTCCAAAAAACACCTGGCGATAAAAAATGCTAACAAATCGTTTCCATCCCCAGAGAAACATATGACAAATGAGTTATGATTAATCGAATAGCTATGAATTGATTTTAGCGAGCTTTGTTTCTCGCTCTGATTAACTTTTAATTAAAAATCTTTTGTGCCAAATCAATTAAACAATTCTAAAAATTTAAAAACAATTCAACCGATTTTGATTGTTAAAAAACAGCTGTTAATCGACAGATGATGGTTTTTGCTTTGTTAACAGGAAAGGAATGTGTTTTTAGTCAAGAACAAAACACATGCAAATACGTATGTAATATTTATAATAATCAATCATGTGCTTTGATTTGGCTTCCAAAATATATTTTAATGCATTTTACCGGATAATATATATATAAAATATAATTAAAAAATAAAATGAATAAATGAATAAAAGAAATAAATGTATAAGCAAGTAAAAGTTAAAAAATATTATAATTTTAGTCATGTACTAACTATTAATCTGCTTATTAACTAAGCGGGGAATTATGAAACTGATTCTGAAAACATTTGGTTAAGAGTAATAGCTAAAGGAAATTATAGCTCTGACTATAACTTTCAGGACTCTTAAACTAAAATTAAAACTCATTCTCTAGTTTAAAACCTTTTTCTAACAATTATTAATTCAATATTGGGTTTATAATGATGACTGAAAGATTCATTCAGAGCGGCGAAGAATTTTGTTGCCCGACTTGCATCATTGGGCCAATAGGAAAAGACGGCAATAAATACGAGTAGAAAAAGTGGAAATAAAAGTAAGCATTAATAAAGCTCTCGAAGTTGACGTCGCTGCTTTTGCTCCTGGCAGCGCTGTCATAAATTGTAACGGTAGGGGGAGCTGGGAAGGCTCTCTTCCCGGCAGAGAGAGATTGTGAATAAAATGCAGAAAATGTGGGAGCGGAACGAAACACTTGCGAGAAGCGACAGAAGGATGGAATGGCAAGAAACACTACAACAAATACAAGATATAAGGCAGCAGGAGAGGCAGAGCAAAAAATAGCAGTAAAGCCAAAGAAACAATGAAAAAATGTGAGCAGAAAAAAAGTCGAAAGCCAATCTCTGCGGCACCTTGCGCACCAGTAAGAAAGCAGAGCAACGACAGAGCGGAAGCGGATACGAGGGAGCGGGAACACCGCCTCCATTTCCAGTATGCGTGTGTGTGTATGCGAGTGCCTGTGTGTGTGTATGTGTGATGGGGTTTGTTTATGTACAAGCCAAATACATAATTCATAACGCTCATATTCGCTCATTTTGCGCCGTCGCCGTCACTTCGGCGTCAGCGTCGACCAACGACAAGACAGAGATTGCCTCTGCGACAGCGATGGTTCTGCCCTTTTCATATCTATCTGCGCTACCATCATAACACACACACACACACACACGCACACAGTACACACACACAGATGCACGCGCATACAGATGCAGCAGCGACGGCAGCAGACAAGTTTTTTGATAGACTCTCATAATCATAACGAAAACAACAACGCGCGCCTCTCTCGCCTCTCGCTCTTTGGATTCTTACAGGTTGTCTGTCTGTCTGCTTCAGAGCGCTTAGTCTCTCTTTCTCTCTCCCTCTCTCTCTCGCACTCTTTGTTAACCTTTAGGCGCGCGTGTGTGTGTGTGTGTTAACCCTTGTCGTATCAGTGTGTGCGCTCTCTGCGCTCATTTCCGAAATGTCAGCTATTTCTGTCGCACTCTCTCTCCGTCTGTCTCTTTGTCTGTTAACTGCTGCACTCTCTCGCTGCAACTCTTATACGCCTTAACATACTCGCAACAGTCTTCGATTGGGCCAAAAGAGGGGTAGAAACAGTAATGTTAGGGTTGCTGTCGACCCATGTACGAAGGCTCTGTTAGCCGCTTTATGGCTATGCAGATTTGCTGGATGGTGGGGGGTGGGGAAAATATCGTTAAACGCCCAAGATGGTCGCGATATGGGGTCCGACCATGCATGAATTCTCAAAATCCATTAGCATCATAACCATAAAACAATAGAGTGAATATCTTTTATATTTGATTCGCTAAAACTCAATAAGGTCATTGGCAAATTGCTTAATTAACGCGAGATCATTCAATATATTCTGAAGCATTATTGGATGAACAGCACCATGTTCAAAGCTGGTTCTGCAAATGGTTAAAATCAAAATAAAATACTGACTGATTTGATTGAATGGATTTAAATGCGCCTGTTCTTTTATTCCATAAAAAATGCAATTCCTTAATATTGCTAAGAGTTTTTCTGCCTATTTTTCTACTATATAGAAATCTATTAATGCTTCCAAATTTAAATTTTAACATCTAAGTAGTTGAGTTTGACCTGAAACCAATCAAGTGAGTCCCAATAGTATTCATAAAATGCAATGGATACCAATCTGAATCGTGATTCCTGCCAGTTCCGGTACCCTTTCCATTATTCATTGGGATCGATCGATTCCCGTCCCAGCGAATACACAAATAATCAAAAATGCAATCGGTTAGCTCGGGTTTTGTCACCCCAGTTCTGATACCCTTTCCCCTATCTGCGGGCTATAATCTGAAACCCGAATTTCAATATCGTTCTGCGGTCGGTCCCTTTGTTGGCCTAATTTAAAATCCAAAACGAAAACAACACAAATACTTATACGAAAGTAAAAACGAAATTAAATGCAACTGAAATAAAATAAAAATAAAAAACGGAATTACTTCCGTTCGCCTGTGGGTCGGGTCGGTTTGCCTCGGGCAGATTTATGAGCGAACGCACTCAGACCTGAGACAGTCCTGCCAGGCGGTTGCCTCAAAGTCCCCCGAGGAAAAGAACAAAATAATGAGAGAGAGAAAGAGAGAGGCAGGCCCAAAATGCATAGGAAAACAGAATGCATTGAGCATTCCTAATGCCCAGCGATCGTTTGCCACAATTATGGGAGGCACTGGCGGGGCAGATACACAAAACATTTCCGAGCTGCAGGCACGTTCCGTGTTGCCCGTCTGCGTTCGTGTCCTGCCAAAGGATTCAACGTTCGTTTGTTCTGGCCGCTCGCGCTTTTCACACTTGTCCCGCTGCCGCTCATAAAAATTATAACAGTCCAGCCCCGTCCCGTCCCTCAATTGTAATTTCCATAGAATATGTATGCACAACGATATATGGATATGCGAAGAGCCTTGGAGATGTGCTAGACTCGTGATAGGTATCCGTGGCGACTCACACTGAAACTGAGCAAGCCACTGAATGCTCTACAACACCTTCTGTTTCTGTTCAGAAGCCGTTTAAAAGGGTTTGATATCGGCAGAATTTATAAATAATTTAATAAAAAATAACTTAAGAAGATTAAAATATTTTTCTAGTGTAATTATAAATCACTGTCGTAGCTATTACCCTTGATCATTTTTGCAATAATTATG